GTCCGGGGCGGCTCAATGCGTCTGCCTTGTTGTGTAGCCCGAGCTTGTAGACGATGTCGTAGTGGAAGTGAGTTTCTAGGAAATCCATCCATCGCACCTGCCGTCGTGAGAGCGTTGGCTGCGACTTCAGGTATTTGAGACTGCAGTGGTCAGTATACACTGTAGTCTTGGCTCCCTCTAGGTAACACCTCCACGCCTTGAAGGCTATGACTATCGCTAAGGCTTCTTTGTCATGGATGGGGTGGTTCAGTTCTGCTCCGTGTAGCTTCTTACTAAGGTAGGCGATGGACTGCAAACCGCGACCATGATCCTGCATCAGTATTGCTCCGACTGCTTGGTCACTAGCGTCTGCTTCCACCACGTAGTCCTTGTCTGAATCCGGTAGGATGAGTACTGGCGCTGTAGTCAGCGCTGTCTGTAGCTGCTCCATGGCTTGCTTATGAGGAGTATCCCATTTGTAGGGCGTATCCTTTTTCAGTAGGTCGATCAGTGGCGCTGCTATCTTAGCGTACTGCGGCACGAACCTGTTGTAGTAGTTGGCGAAGCCGAGGAACTGCTGCAACTCCTTCACGTTCTCCGGTACATTCCACTTTTTTACGGCTTCGATCTTGCGCGAGTCCACGTGTACGCCCTCGGCACTCACCATGTGCCCGAGAAACTGCACCTTCTTTAGGGCGAAGTCGCTCTTCGATAGCTTCACGTAGAACTTGTTGTTCCGGAGGGTCTCGAACACCTTCCGCAGATGCTCCACGTGCTCCTTCATGTTCTTGGAGTAGATAAGAATGTTGTCCAGGTTCACCACTACGCACTCGTCCAACACGGGCCGTAGGATGTGATTCATCTCCGCCTGAAACGTTGCTGGTGCGTTGCAGAGTCCGAACGGCATCACCAAGTATTCGTAGGAGCCGTATCTGGTACGGAACGCCGTCTTGTGGATCGAGTTGTCCGCCATCTTGATCTGCTAGTAACCCGACCGTAGGTCCAGCTTCGAAAAGACTGTTGGACCACGCAGTTGGTCCAGTAGGTCGTCTATGCGCGGTATGGGATATTTGTTTTTTACTGTCTGTTTGTTCAGTGCGCGATAGTCAATGCACATCCGTAAACTACCATCTGGTTTTGGAGTGAAGAGAACTGGTGCACCGTAGGGAGAGGTGGATGGGCGGATCAGATGTCTGTCCAGTAGATACTCTATTTGTTTCTTCATGTCTGTCAGTTCGGTCGGGCTCAGTCGGTATGGTGCGCATGAGACGGATTTCGCACCTAGTTACTCCACGATCTCATGCTCGTGGGTGGGTGCTGGAGGTACGCCTGCAGGTAGGTCATCGGGCATTATATCCTTGTACTGCTCCAAGACCTCCTTTACTGCTGCAGGTAGCTCCGAACTCGACTTCTCCTCCTCTACTGCTGCCATAACTAGTGCTAGGTAGAGCGTGTTACTCTTGTTCACCGTCCGTTCGAACCGTGCCAGTGTCGTTTCAGGAACGCTCCAGCAGAAGCTTCCTACGACACCGCTAATTGTCGAGGCCGATGAGGTGCAGCGGCCTTCGAGGCAGGTGGAGGTTTCTGTCTCCAAGGAGGAGATCTCTGGGGTGACTGATGATGGGGGAGAACCTGAGGTGGAGCAGCAGCAGCAGCAGGAGGAGCAAGGTGCTCCACAAGGTGTCGGTCGTACGGCTGACCGTCCTAGGAGGGATGTGCGCCCTCCTAACAGGCTGACCTATGCAAGCCGTGGCAAGCCAAAGGTGGTGAGGGCTGGGAGTGTGGCTGAGCAGTGTGATGAGGATGAGATAGCACACTGCTACTGGGCAGCCGTCCCTGAGCCCAAGACGCTAGCTGAGGCATTGAGCGGGCCCGATGCTGAAAAGTGGAAGCAGAGTGTGAAGGAGGAGTATGATTCTCTGCTAGAGAATGAGACGTGGGAGCTGTGTGAGCTGCCACCCGGGAAGAAGGCCATTTCTTCCAAGCTGATTTTCAGGCACAAGTACGGACCTGATGGGGCGCTGACCCGCTATAAGTCAATGCTTGTGGCTAAGGGGTTTCAGCAGACAAAGGGAAAGGACTTCAACGAGCTCTATGCTCCTGTGGGGAAAGGCACAACACTTCGGGTGTCATTGGCAATGGCAGCAAACCGTAGATGGCAGGTGAAGCAGATGGACATCACCACCGCCTTCCTCAATGGGATCATTCTGGAGGAGCTGTACATGTTACAGCTTGAGGGTTTGGATGATGGGAGCGGCAGGGTGTGCAGGCTGAAGAAGGCCATCTATGGCCTGAAGCAGGCTCCTCGTGCATGGTACCACAAGTTAGAGGAGACTCTGCTGGCTGGGGGTTTCAAGAAGAGTGAGTGTGATCACAGCTTGTTCCTGCTGCAGGAGAAGGAGCAGTTTCTCATGCTCCTGGTGTATGTGGACGACATCCTGCTCTTCTCTGATTCGTCTGCAATGAGTGAGCATGTGGAGGAAACGCTGGAGATGCAGTTCAAGTGCTCCAAGATGGGAGATGTGAAGTACTATTTAGGGATGCATGTGGAGAGGGACCTTGACAAGGGAGTGTTGAGGTTGCACCAGAGAAAGTATTGTGAGGGGCTGGCTGAGAAGTATGGGCTGCAAGATGGAGGAAAGCCAGCCACCCCACTGCCTTCGGGGTTCACTGTGGAGCCCTGTGCTGATGAGGAGGTGGTGGGTGAGAGTGACAAGAAACTTTTTCATTCCATGGTTGGGGCACTCAACTATGCGGCTAACCACACACTGCCTTGACATTGCCTTTGCAACATCCAGGCTTGCCAGTGTGGTTTCACGCCCCAGTCATGAGCAGCTGGAAGCGGCCAAGAGGTTGGTCCGCTATGTGAGTGCAACGGCATCAGTGGGTTTGGAGTACAGTGCTGTGAGGCAGAGGCTGCAGAGGGGTGCAGCTGATTTGAGCAAGGGGGAGATGCTCCTGACCTGCTACACTGACGCTAGCTTCAACTCGGTGAAAGCGGATGGCACCTGTATTGGAGGCTATGTGTGCCTGTTCGGAGGTGGTGCAGTGAGCTGGCGCAGTAAGAAGCAGAATGAAGTGGGACAGTCCTCGTGTGAGACAGAGTACATGGCCCTGCATCATGGGGCAAAGGAGGTGGTGTGGCTGAGGCGTTTGTTGGAGGAGATTGGAGTTGGTCAGAGGGAGCCGACTGTGATTTTTTGTGACAATGAGTCGGCGGTGAAGCTAGCGAAGAATGCTTGTCTTCATGGGCTGACCAAACACATCAGGCCTAAGTGGCACTGGGTGAGAAGGCTCCTGGACAAGGAGGTGCGGCTGGAGATTGTGAAGACCCATCAGCAGGCGGCTGACATTCTCACCAAGCGCCTGGCTGAATCTGAGCATTGGAAGGGCATGAAGCTTGCTGGGATGAGTGTGCATTGAGGATGCATGCTTGAGCTATGACATGTGGGATGATGGTTGGCAGCCAGAGGGGGAGTTTGTTGAGTGATGCTACCATTCGCATTCACGTCTGTCTGCCTCCCATCATATGTTCGTGCGTTGCATGCGTGTTGTGAGTGTGTGCAGAAATTTGTGTTTTGTGCGGTTTGGTTTTTCTGAGTGTGTGTGTGTGTGTGAATGTTATTTGGCTTGAGCAGATATCTGAAGTGACTCCTCTGCTCAAGAGCTTTCCGAGGAACCAAGTATCGCTTCAATCGGAGCACGAACAAGAAAGTTACGAACGTTGGAGTTCGTATGCTTTTGATATTTGGTTGTGGTGACTATGGGAAGTTGTGGGGTTGACTCAATATGGGGTACAGACTTTTGAGGGTTGGGAAATTCGTCTTTTCTACTGTAGTTGCTGCCAAATGGTTGGGAGAAACCAAACCAGGCTGGCAAGTGTGGCCAAGTTGGGTTGAGGTGGATTGTGGAGGTTGGGATAGTGACAAAGGTCAAAGTTGGGTTGCCTTTGGGGAAGGGAATTGGATGGCATGGGGTTTCCTTGGTTGGGGACTCTCTTGGGACCTTCCCTCTCGTCCTCCTCATCCCTTCCACCTGGTTTAGTGCTACTCCAATTCTCTTGTGTGAACTTGTGTGAACTTTGTGATTGAGTTAAGATTCTATGGCAGCATACCCCCTAGTGCGCCGAAATTGATAGCTCAAGAAATACTTCACCTTTTCGCATGATTCAACTTGGGAATTGTAGCCACGGAGTAGAGCTACAATATATTCGAGTTTGATGAAGTTTTGACTGTGAACTTTCCGTCAACGGCGTTTCTTGTGAACTCGACTTTTCTGTTCAGAAACTAGGCCCAACGATGTTGAGATATTTTGGCTACTAATCTTCATAGACTCCGTCCTCAGTCTCTAACACACCATACCACAACGGATTCACCATGTCGCGCAACACACAGGCCGGAAGGCGGCATCGTCGCACTGTCTAAACACTGCTGTCAAGAACGCATCTACGCTTGTGCGTTGGGCCTGTCCTTTATACCACTCCTTCTAAGCACCTTGTTGAACGTCTGTGCAAGAATGGATGACAATCCAACACCATACAACAACTTTTTCTCGTCTGTTACTATTCGTTTACACATTCGTTTGTTACACTTTGTGTGTGTGACATGAGACAAACCCACTACCGGCGGCAACCCCATACTAAACCAAGAGCATCAAAGATTTGGATGTTTTTTATTGTGGTATTTTTTGAAATTTATTCAGCGTACATGTTCAACACTGTGCGTTCACCAGATCACTGTACTTTGCAGGGATAAGGTTACATTCGCACTTGAGGTTCTAATACCGTACACCGTCCGATATAGCCTGATAGGGTTACAGTAATCTCTATAGTCTCGCAACCCACCCCAACCACCCTCGTGCCCCACCCATCAGGCAGTGCCGATGACGCCGGTGGCGCGGAATTTGGGAGAACGCGAGGCGCCAGTGAAGCTAGTGGCAAAGCAACGGGTCATGCATTGTGCCAAAAGGGCCGACCCGCAGAAAAAAAAACATCCGGCGGAAGGAGGGGCAAGAAAGCAGCAATGAGGACGAGGCCGAAACGGGGTGGTGAAGACCCTGGTGAGGCCGAGGAGGAGGATGCGGAGGAAGAGGAGGATGAAGAGGATGCGGAGGAGGATGAGGTGGATGTTGGGGAGGATGAAAAATATGAGAATGATGGTGGGGAGGACGAAGAGGAGGAGGAAGAGGAGGAGGAGGAGGAGGAGGAGGAGGAGGAGGAGGAGGAGGAGGAGGAGGAGGAGGAGGATGAGGACGAGGACGAGGACGAGGAGGGCAGCGACGATGATGAGAAGGAGGAGGAGGAGGACGACGATGAGGAGGAGGATGAGGGGGAGGAGGAGGAGGAGGAGGAGGAGGAGGAGGAGGAGGAGGAGGATGAGGAGGAGGATGAGGAGGAGGAGGAGGAGGAGGAGGAGGAGGAGGAGGAGGAGGAGGAGGAGGAGGAGGAGGAGGGGGAGGAGGAGGAGCAGGGGGGCGACGAGGAGGAGGATGAACAGGAGGAGGAGGAGGAGGAGGAGGAGGAGGAGGAGGAGGAGGAGGAGGAGGAGGAGGAGGAGGAGGAGGAGGAAGAGGGGGAGGAGGAGGAGGACGTGGCAGCAGTGAACGGACGGGGCGGGCGTGGTTGACAGCAGAGTGGTACAGGGAAGGTGTGGGGCCGGACTCGCCATTCCCGAAAACACGGGGCAATTGATGCCGCGCGCGGCGCAGCAGCTGGCAAACCGAAGGCGCGTAAGGTGAAGGTCGAGAGTGAAAGGGATGGTAAAAAGCAAGGTCGCCAGGGAGCAAAAGGGGATGGAGGAGGTAAGGGTGGCGGCGCCAAAGGGGTTCCATCGGGTACTGGCAAGAAAGAACCTGCCGGTAAACGTCGCAGCGGCCGTCAAAGCACCCCGCGGAAAGGTGGCAATGAGAAAGCGCTTGCCCCAAAAAAACCAAAGGGGCAGCGGAAAGGTGAGCACCCTGGCCAATACACCGGGCGTGGTTATTGCACTCTCTACTCAACCGTGGCAAATAACACCATTCTACACGTTGTTTCTCCCCTGCAGGGAAGGTGAAGGATGATGAATCTGCAAAGAAAGGTAAAGTCTCGTGTCTCAAAACATTACACTGCTTAGCCCGATTTAGATTCAAACCATTGATTTCATGCATGACTGTCTGGCCCTGTATTGATACCGATCGACTTTAATTTCTTGATCCTACTCCCTCTAAATCTCAGCCCCTCGCGTTACAGGCATTGGGCCACCAGTAAGCGTGCAACGGATGCAGCTAACAAAGGGGGCCGGAAGAGCGAGTGTGACGCTGCTTTCCACAGGAGCCCGAAGGTTCTTCACGCCGTACTACGGCCCGAGCAAAGTCGCTGCGACAGCTCCCGGCGCGCCAAGAGGAGAGGAATCTGAATCACCTCCACCAGGCCCCGTCACGCACTCCCCACTCGCCTCACCCTTGTACCCATTTCGGCCGCTACACGCTTCTCTTGTCCAGGGCAGGGCGGTCTCCCCCCTTGCTGGTCCTTCGCGCGGGCATCAGCCAAGCACTTCTGCCAATCCCTTCCCTGAGCTCCCCTTTTCCCGCCAGCATGATAGTGTGAGGGCACACGGGACTGCTGAAGAAGATGGTGAAACCCTTGGCCAGAGGGGGGATTCTTCACACCCTTTTCCACCGCTCATGGGTGCCCTAGGTGAAAGTGCGGAGCACGAGCAGTTTGTTACACGGGAGGAGTTCCAGGCGCTGCGGTCTGAGATGTACGCCATGTTTGCACAGCTCGGCCTGCGTCGTGGAGTACCTGCCAGTTATGCCGGGGGTTTCGCAGCCGCGCCTATGACTGGTACCCCGCCGCCGATGAGTGCCTTGGACAAGGCACGAGTGCTAGTGTTGCAGGAGACAAGCCCATTCCCGATATGTGGTGGGCCCAATGGGGCGGGTTGGGGCTGACGTGGGGGCTTGGAAGGGTACACGCGAGCAGCGCGTGACGAGGTGACTCATGTCAGGTGGGTGGGGTGACGTGGCATGGGGTGGGTGGGTGGGTGTGACATGGCACGTGGGGCTGGTTTGATCCCTGACGTGGCGGATGGAGGAGGGTGTGACGTGGCGGATGTGAGGCTTGGGGGTGACGTGGCGGCTTGGACGGGTACACGGGAGCGGCGTGTGACGAGGTGACGCGTGTCAGGTGGGTGGGGGGAGACGTGGCATGGGGTGGGTGGGTGGGTGTGACGTGGCACGTGGGGCTGGTTGTTCCCTGACGTGGCGGATGGAGAAGGGTGTGACGTGGCGGGATCTGAGGCTTGGGGCTGACGTGGCGGCTTGGACGGGTACACGGGAGCGGCGCGTGACGAGGAGACGCGTGTCGGGTGGGTGGGGGTGACGTGGCATGAGGTGGGTGGGTGGGTGTGACGTGGCACGTGGGGCTGGTTGTTCCCTGACGTGGCGGATGCAGGAGGGTGTGACGTGGCGGGATGTGAGGCTTGGGGCTGACGTGGTGGCTTGGAAGGTTACACAGGAGCGGCGTGTGACGAGGTGACGCGTATCAGGTGGGTAGGGGGTGACGTTGCATGGGTTGGGTGGATGTCACGTGGCAAGTGGGGCTGGTTGCTGGTGGACGTGGCGGATGGAGGAGGGTGTGACGTGGAAAGTTCACATAGTCCATCCTGTGGTCACGCGGCCACAGTCATAATTGATGGTTTCTCTCTCCCCATGTCGTGTTGTAAACCCCACAGCCCTGCGCAGAACAAAGCCTACTTAGTGTGCTTTCATCTCTTGTTTCCGAACCCCCCGGAAAAAATCCAGTACTACCCTGCACCAGAGGAAGTGTTTGAGGCGTTCACTGTCCACTTGTCTGCCGAAGGGCTCGAGTCAATGAAGCTGCTGTGGTTGCACAACGACAAGTCGACCATGGGTGTCTTCAATCACCAGATGTCGTCAACCAGGTCAACAATCAACAGCACCCTCAGGCCAGCAACGTACGCCGGCATGGGCCTCTCCGATTACGCCCATCTCGTGGATACTCTGCCCACTGAACTACACCCAAAGAAGTGGTTCAACCACGAGGAACTCCTGGCCGAGTACAGAGATGGTATGTGCGACTCGAACACACCATATCCCCCTGCCCATATGCTAGGTGGCAGCTACAAATAACCGTGCGGTGTTCCTCACCCTGATTCTCACCCAACCACTTGATTTCTCTGCACCCCCTTCCCAAGCCGTACGCTCCCTCCCAAAATGCATAATAGTGGGCCCTCAACTGGCACTTTGACAAGGCCACCGGAATGCCCTTCAGCAACCCCTTGTTTGCTTATGCGTTCAAGTTTTCCTTCAAGAGGGGCGGGGTCGTGTTCACCAAGTTCAAGAGCCGCATGGTGGCATGGGGCCTGTTTTCGGTAAGGATGTAGATATGTGTCTGTACACCCATGCCTCATCCCCTAAACCCCTTGCACGTACTTAATCTAAATCCCTGGTCGCTTAGGCATTTGCGGTTACGTAGGGTGTGTCGTCTTCACCGCTTTCAGTTGGCCCATATACCCGTAACCCCCCCCCATACTCCATCCACCCAACCCTACACCACATTGCAGATCGAGTGGCCCCTTCTGCAGGATAAGTGTCGCAAGCGAATTCCGGCCCAGCCGGAACAAAACAGGCCGGACTACTTCGAGTGGTGTGACAAGGTCAAACAGATATTACACTTTGCCATCGTGGAGCGGCGGATCCCACACGATCCGGCTCAGGGTGCGTTCGTCTTCCCGAACATGTTCCTCATCAACGATGGCGACCTTGGAGATGTCATTCTTGCCCACCGGGCTATTGCAGGGCCCAGCATTGCGTAGGCTATTTGACCTGGTGCTAAAACTGCTGGTTGTTAGAATGCTGAATAATGGTTGTTAACCGGAATATTGAATGTAATTCTGAAATCCTCAATACCCAAAATAAAACAAAACCAAGATCCGGTTTTAAATAATTTGGTACCGAAATTACACCAAAACGGATTGCGCCCGAATGTCATCCGGAAAAGCTCGCGTGCCAATTTGAAACTTGACCCGAGCCAAACCTTGTCGCGAGATGTGTGTCGGAGCTCCTATCAAATGATTTCAACTGTCGGTCGAAATCGGGTCCGGATTTTTTTACGCGAAGACATCCCCAATCAGAATTCGTCCAAACTTGGCATAGGGTTTTTGCGATGAACATGCAGCGGAGGGCAGCGCAGAGTAGTGGCACTTGGAGCAGAATGATGCCGCTTGGGCACGGGGAAGCGGCATCCCGAAAAAATTGCCCAAAAAAACCTACCCCAAGGTTACCTCCAGTTTTCCCCGCTGTGGGTAACACACAGAACTCCATCTAAGTTACCTTGAGGTTGCCCAGGGGCAACATTCCGTTCGTGGTATCCTTCAGGTAACCTACAGGGGTGACCCTACAGGTTTCCGAAAAGACGCCCACATGAAACCTCTACCCAACCGTTGCGGCAAATCAGACGCAAGCCGCAGTGTCGATACAAATGATCCGACAACGTGAGCAGTCCTTCGGTAAACACTCCCTTTATGGATTTGTATAATAATATACGAAAGAGCTTGAACATTGTTATTCGTTACTGCATGACTCGATACGCGTGCCTCAGTTTAGTCTTGTACAGTAATATGCGTAAGAGCTTACACCCTGGTATTCGTTATGCCATGACTCGATACGCGATGTGGAGTTTAGTCTAGCGTCTCATGTCAAATATCTTAGAAATGTAAAATCACGTAATCATACTCGTTATGGTTGGCCTCCATATCATTGGAGTGCAATAGAGTGTACTAAAAAATGCTAACAGATTACGACGCAATATATGCCCTATTAACAAACGTAAGGATTCGATACAGCATGTCCTCCATATGGAACCCTTTTTTGGGATTCGATAACTGTCACTGTAATTTTATTGGATCACAGGTTACTTTCCATCTACTTCAAATGACGAGCCTTCTGACTATATGGGGTACTAATTGGGTTTATGCGCAACGGCACAACCCTGTGAGTTGAGGTTGCCCTCGCTTGTGTACCTGGAATGCTTGCATCTCTCTGATAACACATATGCACCGTCCGACATCATACCTCGAGTGCTTACTTCGCCACTTTCCACACCTATAAACCTACTTCCCATGCAAACAGCGATGGTTTACCACACAATTTATGTTGAGAAGAGTAAGCAGGAATGAGAACAGAAGAAGAAGGGTGTTCACTAGCAGCAGTTGGGATACATATAGCAAACCCTAACTGGGTTGTACCCGCTATAGAGCACCCCACTACAGGCTAGATAATAACATTCTGACACACCCCCATAGCCAAAGTGGGGTGTAATCAGCACAATGAGCATGTATAGCAAGAGTTCACAATAATAAGCAAAGCTAGAGGATATCACAGAGGGCCAGTGAGGAGGAGGAGAGACTGTGGGGGAGAGAAGATGGGAGGCGACTGCTGAAGCTGCAGACACACAGGAACTGCTGGCTCAGTGGCTACCGAAGCAAAGGCCCGGACTACAGGAGTAACTGGCTCTGCAGAGATTAAAGCCTCCAGACTGGGGCAGCTGACCCATAGGCGACTGGCGACTACCGGAGATTGTAGCCTCCGGACTGCTGGTGCTGCTGGCGACACAACTGCTGCCTCCACTCAACCTCCCCCAGCTGCCCCACGCCCCTCTCACACACCCCCTGCTGAAACCCTAGCTCCACTCCCACAGCACCCCCCTTAAACCCTAAACCCTAGGCTCCCACACACCCACCCCCCTCAGCAGCAGCTGCAGCAGTGGGAGACGAGGGAGGAGGAGGAGCAAGGGGAGGAACTCACAACCGCCACCCCCAGACCCGCCACCCCCAAACCCTAACGCAGGTAGGAGCGCGGGAAGCAGTAGGGACGGGTCACGGAGGGAAAGGGAGGCGGCGAGGGGTCTCCAGGGCGCCACAAAGGAGCAAGGCGCATGCCCCCCGAGGGCGCCACGGCGGGTGACGGGAGCGGGGCCGCGCACGGGCCCATGAGGGCGGCTCAACGGGCCACGGAAGGGGCCGCGCGCGGGCCCCCAAGGCGCCGCGACGAGGCGACGGTTGGGGCCGGCGCACGGGCCCCCAAGGCGCTGCGACAAGGCAACGGGAGGGGCCGGCACGCCCCCAAGGCGCCACGACGAGGCGACGGGAGGGGCCGGCTCGCGGGCCCCCAAAGCGCCGCGACGAGGCGACGGGAGGGGCCTGCGTGCGGGCCCCCAAGGCGCCGCGACGAAACGACGGGAGGGGCCGGCTCGCGGGCCCCCAAAGCGCCGCGACGAGGCGACGGTTGGGGCGGGCGCGCGGGCCCCCAAGGTGCCGCGACGAGGTGACGGGAGGGGCCGGCGCGCAGGCCCCCAAGGCACCGCACGAAGCAGGAACCCGCCGCGCGCCTCGGGGCGCACGACGGGCAGGGCGCGTGGCGGGAAGAAAAATCGAAGGTCGCGCGCCACGGGGCGCGCCACAAACAGTAGGGCAGCGGAAGTAGGTGGGCCCACAAGCTAGGAGCGTAACCGCTCTGATAGCATGTTGAGAATAGTAAGCAGGAATGAGAACAGAAGAAGAAGGGTATTTACTAGCAGCAGTTGGGATACATATAGCAAACCCTAACTGGGTTGTACCCGCTATAGAGCACCCTACTACAAGCTAGATAATAACATTCTGACAATTTACACTTACTTTACCCTCAAACCACTACCATCAAAATCCCCGAGTCTGTTAGACCCACGCCTAGTACGGACGTATTCACTTGATGGATTTAGACCCACTTTGCTAGACAGCTCGGAGCATATTTGATCTGCCACACACGAATACCAGGGACGGGATAACAGAGGTCAGGGAGTGCCAATGCTAGACATAGCGTGATGGGTGGACTATTAGTGATTCGACCTACCATGCATACTCAGGTTTAGAAGCAAATAACGCTTAGCGGTAGTGCCTGCACAATTACGAACACCATAACTTGCGTTGGAAAGGCAAGCGATTCTAACAGAGAGAGCAAGGACGCACGAACCTTAAATGCCGTGACCAGCCAAACGACAGGTCAAGGGCGTGGCGCTACCATGCAAGGCTTCCACCTTTGTGCCGCGATAACTGTCGCCCAGGCATGTCGGATGGGACCGAATACTGAGACGGGAAGAAACGCCTGCCCAAAAAACATACTGTCAGAATGAAAGAGGTGATTGCACTAGGAAAGGGTTGGGTACAAGTTGGAAACCCTAAACTTACTGTACCCTATAGTACGTACCCCACTACAGCCTAAACAAACTGTAGCAGATATAACATTTGACACACCCCCATAGGCAAAGTGGGGGAGAGCAAGGGGTCACAAGACCAGTCAAGAAAGGCAAAGCAAGCTCAGGGTGGATCACAACGTCACCACACTCACTGAGCACAAGCAAAAAGCCACAAGGCCAGTTCACATGCAGAGGCATATATGTAACACAAACATCACAGTGATCTCCACCTAGCAAAGCAAGCATGCAGATATATATATATATAGATCACAGTACAAGCAAAGTCTACAGCAAGTGAGGAAAAGTGGGCACAAGCCCTAGCATAGTGTAGAAACCCTGATGATCACCAGACTGAAGTGCCTTAGTGAATATATCAGCAGTGTTGGCCCGAGTGGCCACGTAACGCAAACGAAGCTGACCACGCTGCTGCAACTCTCAAGCCAGGAAGTAACGCAGAGCGATGTGCTTCGTTCTGTGCTCCAGTCTGTGCTCCTCACACAAGGCAATGGCAGCCTTGTTGTCGACGTACAGCACTGGAGGAGAACGAGGCCGCTCTCCCAAGTTGGTCAGCAGGTAGGTGAGCCAGCGTAACTCCTGTGCAGCCATGGCTGTGGCGTAGATCTCAGCCTCACAACTGGAGCTGAGAAGTGAAGACGAACGTGTAGACTTGGAAAGGACCACTCGGCTCTACGGACTCGTCCGAAGGTGGAGCTGAGAGCGAGTGACCTGTAGCCAGAGGAGTCGGCTGTGCCGAGGACCAGGTGAAGCCGAAGCGCTGAAGGACCTGCTGCACCATGTGTGACTGAGTCAGTGTGATGGTGCGGCGTGCTTTGTCCCGGGTGATCTGCAAGCCAAGGTAGCTGCGCAGCTTACCCAGGTCTGTGCACGTGTGTCTCTTATGCAGCTCCGACTTCACCAGGGTGAGAGGCTCAGGCCCATAGTAACTACCCCACTACAGCCTAAACAAACTGTAGCAGATATATTATTTGGCACATACGGAACAAAAACGAGCGCATAAGCATGCGATTACAGAAAGTTATATTTGACAGAGAATGGAGGCTTGACGAACTAGAGGAAAAAGCAACACTCACGTTCTGAGCCATGGCCGGGTGTCTATTCAACTTGCAGGAGCATCCTCCGCTCCGCCAAATACATCACCCTCAATGAAACGAGCCCCACCCAATATCGGAGAGCAAGAATCGAGACCCTGCAGTAAGAGACGAAAATGAGGAGTGCATGTCAACGCCAGTGCTTAACCACACTAAAAATATATGACAGGTGGATGGTTCGACGACAAGCGACTAAACAAATGACTCACCGCCATTTACCACCAACTTGTTGGCGTCATCTTGGGGCGGAATAGCAGCCGTGCCAGGACGGTACACCTGACGACAGCGGAGTCCGCACAGGATATGCTAAGAGAAGGATTTAACACACGCCGGTGCGCAGGACAGCCAACATATTATCCTACGTCGAGAGTTACGAGGGTGTGAGCTGGGGGTGGGTTGCGCGGCTGTAGGGGGAGAAAACTTCATCGACAGGACAACTAGACACAATGGAGGAGCTAATTGACTACTGCCCAGTCACGAGCCCTTTCGTAGCCATCAATGTTGGGTGGTGGTGGGTTGAATACGGGGGTTGGGTAGAGGAGGTTCGACACCTCCTCTGATTGGTTGACTGTAGATCCGCTGCCACATACGCTTTCCCACCACTACAGGTTGAAGCGTGAAAAACACTATGTAGTGGAACTGACACACGTAAAATGCAATTGCATATGGCATGAGTTGGAAACCTGCTGCACAATATATCTACCTGCACATTGCTCCCTAACAAAAAAGGGTTACTGAGGGGGATTTAGAGTCTCACATATAAGGAGGCACATAAATTTCCATATTCATCCCCCCCTTGCCAAGCATATGATTCATAAAGATGGGAAACTACACAAAAAGGTGGTCAATATCTAGCACATCTACAAGGAATAAGCATTACGGCTATCGCTAACACAAAGAACATGCTCCAGGCACATGGTTCGCCGATCATTCAATGCCCTCGAGGTCTTCAATCCCATCGGTAGAGATCAGAATCTTCCCACTGCGAGAAAAATCCCACGCCTTCTCGGGCGCGTTGTACCAAGGTCCGCTGCCGTTGACAGAGGGTGCCATGATGGCTGCCCTGCACCAGGCCGTGACCTTCCCGAGGTACTCCGCAATCAACCTCCCATTGATGGCAGCACTGTGTTCCAGGTTCGCGCCGTTGTTCAGGATGCGGTACTCGACCGACACGGAAAAAAAGAACATTAGAAAAAAAAAACGTGCGCATGTTGAAATACGTGAAGCTGTAATGGGCAGCACACCATTAACACCACCTTCAGGCATCTTACCCACCTACGCTGGTGAGCTACCAACACAAACATAAAGAAAAAGCACCAAGCTATTCATGTTATGGACCACTTACTTACCCCCATGAGGAAATACGCGATGTGGTAGAGTTTGACAATGGCAGGCTCAGCCTTGAACTTGAAGAGGGAGATGAAGATGCCCGACTCGAAGGCAGGGTGTGCGGATCCACGTGTATAGGCCATGGCTCGTAGCATCTGCAACCATGAGGCGGTGACATGGTTAGAGTTGTCACTGTGCGGAGGAAAATGCAGCAACACAAATTGGACTTACCTAGAGCATACAGAGCCATGAAGCGGGTGAAGGTGGTCTGCTCGCCTTCGACTGGAGGTTTTTCCGCGCGAGAAGAGCGGGGGAATTTAAAGGGGAACCCGAACCAAATGAGGATCCACGCTCGGCCCTGGTCCAGGGTGTTTGCGCGGATCTTCGCCAACTTTGCCATAAAAAAATCACGACGAGTTTGTTCGGAATACTGTGACATGCTCTCCACAAAGGCATGCTCGATGTTTTCCTCTGCTGGCCACATGCTCATGCGGTGTGATGGTGTGCAGAAAATCAGCTTCACACAAACATCACACACCAGTTTTTGCAAGAGAGAGAACAGGGTGGAGGTAGAATAGGGTTATGAGATGGTGGAAACAGAGTCGGTAGGGATGGGGCGAATCACTGGCATGAAGATGAACGAGGGTTTGGATGGGGAAGGGGGGATGAGTTTCTGACCTGCAGGGTGCATGGAGGAAGGGGGGATGAGGTTCTGACCTGCAGGGTGCATGGGGGAAGGGGGGATGAGGTTCTGACCTGCAGAGTGCATGGGGGAAGGGGGGATGAGTTTCTGACCTGCAGGGTGCATGGGGGAAGGGGGGATGAGGTTCTGACCTGCAGGGTGCATGGGGGAAGGGGGGATGAGTTTCGGACGTGCAGGGTGCATGGGGGAAGGGGGGATGGGTTTCTGACCTGCAGGGTCCATGGGGGAAGGGGGGATGAGTTTGTGACCTGCAGGGTGCATGGGGGAAGGGGGGATGAGTTTCTGATCTGCAGGGTGCATGGGGGAAGGGGGGATGAGTTTCTGACATGCAGGCAGCATGGGGGAAAGGGGGATGAGTTTCTGACCTGCATACAAGCATAGGAGAAGTGGGGTGAGTTTCTGTCCTGCATTCAAGCATAGGAGAAGTGGGGTGAGTTTCTGGCCTGTATTTAAGCATAGGTGAAGGGAGATGAGTTTCAGACCTGCACACAAGCATAGGAGAAGGGAGGTGAGGTTCTGGCTTGCAAACAAGCATAGGAGATGGGAGATGAGGTTCTGGCTTGCAAACAAGCATAGGAGAAGGGAAGTGAGGTTCTGGCCTGCAAACAAGCATAGGAGAACTGGGGTGAGTTTCAGACCTGCACTCACGCATAGGAGAAGGGAGGTGAGTTTCAGACCTGCACACAAGCATAGGAGAAGGGAGGTGAGGTTCTGGCCTGCAAACAAGCATAGGAGAAGGGAGGTGAGGTTCTGGCCTGCAAACAAGCATAGGAGAAAAATATGGGCTGAGGCTGTTACTAGGACGGCGGAAGTACAAGAGGTCTACTATTTCTGTCCCCGATTGGGCCGAGGTGTTTGTGGTGCAGCACACGAGCATTATCGAGGTATGTGAGACTCTTGTTACCATCCTCCCTCCCTCAATACTTTCCCTCTTGCTCCTCCCTTTACTCCCACTCACCACCACGCATTTGCGTGACTGTAGTTTCAAGCAACACCACACGCTCTTCCAATGTTCTCATAGCGATACCAGCCCTTTATGGTGAGTATGCGTAGATTGTGCTGATCAGTCAATCAATGTCTTAGCTCTTTACGGGTGCATGTTTCACTGCAAGCTATCCAGGAGATATGGGGACATCCTGACAACAAGGATGGATTTGTGCTCCGCCCTGTGGACGGCACAGAGGTCGGGACCGGCTACAAGTACACGGATCCCAAGACGGGATCCATGTGGCGCATGGCGCAGATACTTCTGCACATTCCATTGCACCATTAGCAAGATAGCTGTTAAACCTCCCCCTTCCCATTGCTGCCTGCTCCCCTGTCCGGTGCTGCTCCTTGACCTGCTCCTCCCCTGTCGACGTCGGCTTCAATCCCACGTCCGCTTGCCGCTCGTCACGTCGGCCACCGGCGATGCCCTTGGTCGGCGCCGAAGGTGACGGCCCACTGCTCCCCTCATCGCCGAAGGCTGACACCGAGGTCAGCCCGCGGAGGTCGACCAGGAGCGGAGGGGCAGGAGTCGTAGAGGGAGGGGAAGGAGGGCGGACGTCCTTGACGTCCTCAGCAGCAAGCTCACCGACCTCGGCGAGCAGAGGCAGCGTCACCGGCGAGGTATCGGTCGGTGGGGTGGTCGGCGTCCGTCCTGACACCAGCCCGTACTCCGACTCCCACACCTCCAGTGACATATCCTCGTAGAACACCACGTCCGACGTGGTGACCATCCGGTTGGCGTCGATGTCGAGGAGCTCCCAGCCCTTGCTCGCCATCGACACGCCGAGGTGAAGGCCCCACCTGGCCTTCGGCTTCAGCTTCCTGCCACGCTACTGCTCGGGTACGAGGAACTGCGCCATGCAGCCCCACACTCGCGCCAGCAACAAGTCGGGCTTTTGTCTGGTCAGCAGCTGGTACGGAGTCGTTCTTGGCGGCAGCGTCGACCACTCAAGGCAGTTGCGGACTCAGACGACCTGCCGCAGAGTGAGGTGCCACCACTGGTGCTGCACACCCATGTGCAGCAGCATCGTCCTTACCGACTCCATGATCGTCCTCATCTCCCGCTCCGCCATGCCGTTCTGCTGCGGGGTGTACGGACAGGTAAGGTCGTGGACGATCCCCTTTCTGTCCACGAAGTCGGTGAAATTCTTACCGAGGAACTCCCCTCCTCGGTCTGAGTGCAGCATCAGCACCGACTTCTTCACCTGTCTCTCCACCAACAACAGCCACTGCTGGAACTCCAGCAGCACATCCGACTTCTTGGCGACCGGCCTCACCCACACGTAGCGGGTCTTGCGGTCCTTCAGCAGCAAGAAGTACAAGCTGCCGTCTTTCGCAGCCACGCGGAACGGCCTGCACAGGTCGATGTGCACAACGGCCAGCACGTTGTCGGCGTCGGAGCCTTGGTCAGGGAAGGAGTGCCACGCCAGCTTCCCACCGACGCATGAGACACACAGTGAGTCGACGCCCGTCGCCGACTTGAGGTCCAGCCCAATGGCGACCTTGTTCTTTGCCGAGCTCCATATGGTGTCCATGCCGACGTGCGCAAGCCTAGCATGCATCCTGTCCGGCGTCGACTTTGTCTTCGAGACGATCGCCCGCAGGACCACAACCTCCGTCGCGGGCGACGTCGACCTCGTTGAGCAGGGACGCAGGTCGGTGCAGAGGACACGCCCGTAGTGCGTCACCCGACCGAGCTCCTCTCCCGCCCCCGAGACGAGCAGCATCCCGTCTACATCCTCCTGCAGCTTCACGCCGTGCTCCTTCAGCTAGCCGGGCAACAGCAGGTTTGCCCGCACACCCTGGACATACAGCACGTCGAGGATGAGCACCTGCTTCCTGGCCTCCCCTTTGCATAGCGACTGTGCCGCGGCCTTGGACATCCTGTAGCGCCCCATTGAAGCCACGCACGTGCTTGATGGGGCCGCTCGGCTGTAGGTCGCCGAAGACTTCCTTCGTCCCCATCAGGTAGTGAGAGCAGCCGATGTCGAGCAGGACCACTGCCGAGTTCGCCTGCACAGCTGCCGCCACCGCCTGGAAGTCCTCTCCGGCCTCCGGTGCCAGCGAGACGGTCGGCTCCACGATGACGTCTTATCGTCCTGCCCCTTGCCGCCAGCAGAGGAGTCGACGTCCTTCACTGAGGTCGACAGGGTCGACTGCTTCTCCTTACGCAGCTTGTGTCCTCCATGACGAGGACGTCGGCTGCCAGACCTCCCATGGCCTCCCTTGGCGTCGTCTTCGTCGGAGTCACTGCGGTCGGGGCACTCGAAGGAGAGGTGGTCGGGGTCGCCGCACAGCCAGCACTCCCGACGTCGACCTCCTCCTCTTCGACCACTATCCTTGGTCGACTTCTTCTTGTCGAGACTTCCTTGGCCGACTTCCAGCCACCGCTACCACCGCCGCCAAACTGTCCGCGCTGCCCCAATCGACCTCCTTGCTTCACCGGGACGACGAAGTTCGCCTGCGCCAAGAGGTCCTGGGACCGCTCTGCCTCCTGCATCGCCTCGTGTTGCAAGATGTACGAGGTCAAGTTGTCCTCGTTGTGCATCGTCCTCGTGCTCGGCGCCATCGACAGCCGCTTCAGGAGGTTGTAGCTACTCGAGAGTCCCTGCATGACGTGGGTGACGTACGACGCTATCGAGTACTGCGCACCAGCCATCCTGATGGTGGTGAGAATTCGCCGGGCTCGGTTGCACTAGTCGGTCGCTGTCTCCTCGTTGCCCATACGCAAGTGCATCAGCTGTCCCTCCAGCTGGGCAATGAACAAGTCGTCGCTGACTTGGTAGGTCGACTTGATTAAGTGCCACGCTCGGTGGCCAGCGTTGATGTACTCTCGGCACCACTTCAAGGCGATCTACACGTCCGGCGAGGAGCACCGCCAGATGATCGTGAAGGTCAACAGCTGCACGGTGCAAAACTCCGTCCGCAAGTCGGGGTGGTGCTCATCCGGCGTTGCCACGGTCCCTCGGGCGAAGCCGATCAGCCCACCCATCTCCAGCTGGGGCTCGATGGTTTCCTTCTAGGTGAGTATGTCGGGTCGACCAACAAGCGGCGGGGTGACCAGGATCCTATCCGGCGTAAACTTGAAGTAGCCGTAACTCGGAGCAATCCCACCCGCCGTCACCTGGGTCGCCGACATCGGCGACCATCCGCTTCATCGTCCTCCGGCGTCGCCCTACGAGGAGCCTGCAGCCGTCGACGACTATACCCCTCGTGCCTGAATGCCGCCGACTTCATCGGCGTGAATCACACCACGCTGCCTCGACGTGCCTCCCGCACTGCTGCCGACTTGGCCACCTCCGGCGTTGACGCCCACGTCGACGCCACCTTCGTTGGTCACCGGTCGAGGAGAAGCTGGTCGAGAAGGGGGATGCTCCGTCGCCCACATGGTGCGGAGTCCAGCCTCGATGACCGCCCAGGGTATCGCCCCATACTCCTGGGCCTCATGGCGTCTCTTCGCATCCTCCAGCCGTCCCTCCAGGGTGTCCACCACCTCGATGTCACCTACGCACACGCTAGGGACTGTACGGCTGCCGACCTACGAGCAACTTAGGTAAGTGACCACTACATCGACCTGACTGAAAGGTAAGTCGTGTGCCGTCCACGCTCACCGCACCATGCGGAGGTAACTACTACAACGGGAGCTAGACTACGGGCTAGGCATGGGTGGTCGTGTGATCTCTGCGTTCGTTGGTCCTTAGTCGTTTTCTTAGTGCACACACTGCTTGCTAGTTTACGGGGCAAGTTGGCAAGAGTTTCACTTGAGAAAGTTGACAACAATGGTACAATGAAGTTGGCATGGCAAGACTACATCAGGGCTAGCATTCAGGTCGGTCGACTGCCAGCGTAGCATGGTCGACCGCGTTCCAGCACGACTTGGTCTACCGTGCTCTAGCAGTGCAAAGGTCGACGGCGTGCGAACGTCGCAGGTTGACGGCGTGCCAGCATTGCTCCCACGGAACAACAGCGCACCCGCTTCGCAGGTGCTCGCAGAGGATTGGCGGGCTGAGCCTCGTCACCTGCACAACGCACACACCAAGTAATCCTTCTGCTGACGACTCCACCTGATCCGCCATGTCGACCTCGGGATACCACCACCGAGGTCGGACTCGCCAACTTTTCCTGGGCAACCGTCGCACTCCTTTGCAGAACCTCGTCACCCAGGTAACCTGGTCGACCGGGCAACCACGTTGACCAGCTGCTCCCGTACGTGCCCGTCGACCTCCCAGGTAGACGACCACCTCCAAGTTGACCTCACCAGGTCGACCATGCCCCTGGTCGACCAGCTCCAGGTCAGCGTCACTTCTGGTCGA